GAGTGTCAATGTTACTAATATACATAGGCGAGTCAAATGAAAACCTTAAATAATTTTTTGAGTATTATTTATAGTGCACAAGTGGTACAAAGCTGTATCACTTTTCAACATAATCTCCCCCACGCTCAGTGCAAGTCCTCCAGCGCTTACAAAGTGCATGAATTCCTTTAGAAAAAATTCTTTTGGTAGTCCGCACAACCACTCATGCACTGCGTGGCGTACCTCTTCATCAGAATGGAACATCTTCCCTCCCATTGCTTCTTTGAGTGGTCCAAACATGGAAATCACTTGGGTCAAGGTCTGGTGAGTATGCTGGATGAGGAAGACACTCAAACTGCAGGTCATTGATTGTCACAACTGTTGTACGGGCAGTATGGGGCCTTGCATTTTCATGTTGCAAAAGGATACATGTGCACAGCAATCCACGTCGCTTTGATTTAATTGCAGGCCGAAGATGATTTTTTAGGAGATCCGAGTATGATGCACTGGTGACAGTGGTCCCTCTAGGCGTGTAGTGCTCCAAGATGACGCCTTTTTCGTCCCAAAAGAGAGTCAGCATAACCTTCCCTGCTGATGGTTGTGTTCGAAGCTTCTTCAGTTTTCGAGATGAGGAATGGCTCCATTCCATGCTTGCTCTCTTCATTTCCAGTTGGTGCAAGTGAACCCAGGTTTCGTCCCCAGTAACGATTCTTGCAAAAAAGTCATCACCTTCTCGTTCAAAGCACTGCAGAAGTTCTTCACAAGCATCAATACGTTTGTCTTTCAATTCAGGAGTCAGCTGCCAAGGCACCCATCTTGCAGACATTTTGTGAAACTGGAGCACATCATGCACAGTGTGGTGTGCTGAACCATGACTAATGTTTAAACTTGCTGCAATTTCATTCAGTGTCACTCGGCAGTTTTCCCTCACTATGGCGTCAACTGCTGCAGTGTTCTCTGGAGTCACAACTTGATGTGCCTGACCTGGATGAGGAGCTTCTTCCACTGAAGTCACACCATTTGTAAACTTCCTACTCCATTCGTACACTTGCTGCTGTGACAAACGTGCATCACCATACTGAAACTTCATTCTTCAATAAATTTCAATAGGTTTCACACCTTCACTACACAAATACCAAATAACAGAATGCTGTTCTTCCCTGGTGCAAGTCTCAGGTGGGGCAGCCGTCTTATACTGGTGCTGTGACAGTGTTCGTGCATCTGCACTATGCTGCAACCTACAGGACATTCTGCACGCTGTTTGTATCACGCTTACCAACTTATAGGATATCATCATCATCATCATCAGTAATCTGTCAAGACGACATGTCCACAGTCTCTTCCAAAACAATTCCTCCACTTAATGCGATCTAGAGTTTTCTCCTTCAAATGACAGTATCCTCTTGTCCCCAAGATCATCCAGCATCTTCTTACGTCTTTTTCCTCGTCTTCTTGTCACTTCTATCCGTCCCTCTATCTTTCCTTCGATAACTTCTTTTAGAAGGCAGTTTCTGCGTAAAACATGACCAATCCAATTAGCCTTCCGTTTTCTTATTTCGTGTAGGATATTCCTCTGCTCACTGACTCTAATTAACACTTCTTCATTTCTCACATAATCGGTCCAACTGATCTTCTCCATCCTTCTCCAACACCACATTTCAAAACTT